TGTCACGTATACAGCGTGTCTTTATCATCGCGACAATAAATGAACATACGTCTAACGCTACTTGCCAATAATCATAAAAAAATATTAACGTTAAACAAAATCCATAATTAAAAAAAATATTTTTCAAACAAACTAATTAAGTAAAAAAGAAACAAAATTTGTATCATCCTATACAACTCGCGCCACAGCGTCGCATTACAAGCTTCTCCTTCTAACAGTATGATTTGTCTCTCAAATTCATTCAACCCATTCCTATGCTTTGTGACCTTTACAAATGAACTTTACGTTACAGTTTTATACGTAAGGTGTTCTTAAATTGTTTGTTTTGGAAAATTTGGGTTAATATTGATGTTTAAAAAATGTAAATGTTTAATACAATTTTAAAAAGTTATCCTCTATATGTGTTCATTTATTGTCGCGGTGGTAACGACACGCTGTATAAGGAAATATTGATACCAAAAGGCACGCCTTAACTTGAATTTTTTTTAGAAATTTAAAGTTTTCTCTGCACTTAAGATTAAACATTAAAACTTGTAGAAAAAATTGTTGAACTGAAACTTGTTGAATTTTTTTATCAAATAATAAAATGTTTTATTTCCAAAAGAATAGCATATCATTATCATAGAGATAAAGACAATTTTAAATATATTTCCAAACACAACGATTGATTTGTTATATTAAAATCTCGCATCGACGAGTTGAATATTCTTCAAAAATATCCCTTTCTAGTACTAGAAAATATTTCACCGTCAAGACAATATTTTCTTTTAAGAATAAGAATATATGAATATATAAATGTAACCTTAGAAGTAAAGCAACATTGCATGAATTTCAAATATAACTTTTTTAAATGGGTAAATACACTTTTATAAATCGTTTCCCTCCAAGTCTACGATACACTTTACGTCGGCCTTCTTTTTAGGCCTGGTTCTTCCTCGAATGAGCTTCCACGTTCTTCCAACACCAGAAATTCCTTCATGGGTTTAAAACGTATGAATGAATGAATGAATACACTTTTATTGTCCACCACAAATAACAATATACATAAAAGTAACAATAGAACAACAAATTTATGCAATGTACAATTTGGCGGCCTTATCGCTTCATAGCGATTTCTTCCAGGCAACCAATGGCTTAAAGGAAACGTATACTACGTAGGTGGTACAATAGAAATATACATAATATATTATTAAAGCAGATACATTTACATATACATATCCATATATACACAAAAATACATGTATATACTATATACAAATACTATACATATATATATATATATACACACACACATATATATATATATATATATATATATATATATATATATATATACTAGACCTCAAACATGAATAGTATTTAATCCCAATATTACTCAGGTGATTGTGACAGGTAGTGCTCTCTTACTAACTTATTAAAAGTGCCAATAGATTGCGCCTCACGTAAAACTAAAGGCAAGGAATTCCAGAGCTTAATAGCCTGCACGGTAAAAGATTTTTCATAAAACGACGTTTTGTAATTTGGCACCCTTAAAATGAGCTTCCTCGAAGAACGTACATCTTCCCCTGGAAGCCCTACAAACTCAAATTTCTCCTTTAGATATGGTGGAGTACAACCATGAAACAAGACACCATACAAAGCAGAAAGACTATGTAAATTCCGGCGAAATCGGATGGGTAACCACTTGAGACGTTTACGAAATTGAGAAACATGGTCATATTTACGCAACCCAAATATGAACCGAATGCTAGTATTTTGGAGTCTCTCAAGTTTATTTAATTGTTCTTCAGTTATATCTACATAGCTAGCGTCAGCATAATCGAGAATCGGAAGAAGAAGAGTCTGTGCAAGCATAATTTTTGTTGGAATGGGGAGAATTGATCGAAGGCGACGCATAGATCTGAGAGCTACAAAAGTTCTCCTACTAACTTCATTTAAATGGCGTGTCCAGCTTAAGGTACTGTCGAGATAAATGCCTAAGTTTTTGACATAATCACAGTATGGGATTATCACTCCATTGATTTTAATTGGCGGTAATGATAATCATTCAATTCTTGATTTGAAGGACCGGCTGCCAACAATTATTGCGTTTGATTTATTGGGATTGATAATGAGGCCATGTGATTTAGTCCACTCATGTATGTGATTTAAGTCATTGTTCATAACGGCGATAGCTACTGGCAGATTCTCAAGTGTTGACTGGGTGTAAATCTGGATATCATCCGCATACATATGGTAGAGAGAAGAAATTTTTGGAGTGATTGAATTAATGAAAATAGAAAAAAGTAAAGGTGACAGCACGCCGCCTTGTGGTACGCCAGCAGAAGTATCACACCAAGATGAAAGTGTTTCATCAACGCGAATACGCTGCCGACGTCCATTGAGATAACTTTGAAACCAGTCAATTACTGATGGTGGTAAATTAAGTGAACAAAGCTGACTCAACAGAATATCCAAATCAACTGTATTACTGTAAAGCATTGCTGAAATCCAACAAGGTCATAACTGTGAGCTGTTTATTGTCCATACCCAACTGTTTATTGTCAATACCAATGTCATCGGTAACTTTAATCTTAGGGCAGTAACCGTACTATGACCAGGACGGAAACCGGATTGTAAGGGATTGAACAAATTATGAGTGTTAAGAAAAAGGTTCAACTATTGGTAAATGAGCTTTTCAAGTACTTTGGAAAAGAAAGGTAAGATCGAAATTGGACGAAAATCGGAATAATTATCGGGATTAGGTTTTTTTTAGGGAGAGGTATAATATGAGCAGTTTTCCAAGCATCGGGAACTTTAGAAGAAGAGACACATTCATTTAATATATAAGTGATAACAGGAGTGATAATATCAAGGAGAGGTATAATCATCTTACGGCTAATGTCATCACTACCGACAGCATTCGAAGATATGGACAATATGCTTTTCTTAATATCACATACAGTAAACTGACTAAAAACAAACGGGGGATAATTCGGAGTCGGAGTTGCGGAGAAAGATTGAAGAGTTTTAGCTTTGAGTTCATTATCAAAATTGCTAGAAGGTGTAGAAAAGTGTTGATTCAAAAGTTCAACATTAATATTTGAAGGTGTTGAATTATTTGATTTTTTACCAACTCCGATCGTTTCCAGAAACTTCCACACTCTGGATGAGTCGCCGTTCTCGACTGATGTATGGATGTGGCGTCGCTGTGCATTTCTAACCAATGTATTACAGCGATTCCTGATTTTGGCATATTTTCTTTGATTCTCCTCCGTTCTGTTTCTCTTAAGTTTGGACAACGCTACATTTTTCTTTAAAATTTGCTTGTTTAGGTCATCAGAGAGCCAAGGAGCAGGCAGGTGTTTAATCTTAACATAATGTAATGGCGCATGTACATCAAAAAGTTGAGTCAGAAAGGAACAAAAAAGTTCGACTTTTGAATTAATGCATGGTGCACTCTTTTTCACTGACCAATCAATTTTACGAGCGTCATCACAGAGCCAGTCAATATCCATTCCTCCAAAATTACGTCGCAGAAGTATTTTAGGTTTCATTTTAGGAGGGCGTAGTTTATACGAAAGTAAGATAAGATCATGGTAAGAGAATGCATCGGCAGGGTACTGACCGTGCTTGTAAACTAGATTTGGAGAAGAAACTATAATCAAGTCTAGAAGAGAAGGTGTACAGTTTGGAAAGTTATGAGTAGCCGAAAGGGGTAGAATATGCATATTACATGCTTCAACGATAGAATTGAGTTTATTCGCCCGATTGTCGCCTTTAAGTAAACAAGTATTAAAATCCCCCATTAAAATAGTATGACTGTAGTTAGGGATTAGTGACTCTAAAAGTGACTCGAGAGAAGAAAAATAATTTAGTGAGAGGGATGGGCTATAAAAAACTCTAAGTAAGATTTTATTTTGGGACAAAGATATCTCTATTAGTAAATGCTCAGCAGAGTCAGCAGGTGGCGGATGACATGACGAACTTACAATTTTAAAAGGAATGTGGGATTTAAGATATATCGCCACACCACCGCCACCCCTGTCAGTGCGGTCATTTCGAATTAGATGGAACCCAGGCAAGGAGTAGCAGACAGAAGGCAGACAGGGCTTTAACCACGATTCAGAAATGAATATGGCGTGAACGTTTTGGGATTCAATGACGCTAGCATGTCAGGATAATGAGCCGGAATACTTTGTGCGTTAATGTGAACAGCATTAAAATTTTTCAAACAGTCTGAGAAACAAGTATTTAGGGCAAAATTGAGTGGAAGGGAAGTTGATGTCGTACTGTGAAAACTTGAGTCACTAGGTGTCTCATCACCCGAGGACAATGACATGAACAAATCACTATCAATACTGATGTTTGAGGATAACATAAATACTATAATTAATGATATATAAAAATAGATATGTTATAATATATAGAAGCTAATATATAAATGTATAATATGCAAAACTTACCATACCCGCTATTTATAACCACCAGCACCATGAAAGAGAAAGCGTACAACAACAACTTAAGATTGCCTAAAAGTGAAAAAAAAAAAAAATAAAAATAAAAAAAAAAGAAATTACATATTACAATTAAAAAAACTTAAATTCTACTTTGTTTAAATATATAGCAAGGTTTCCGTTAGTAACATATTCACTTGCAGTCAGTATTTTCATAGACAAGTCCATGGACTAACAAACGCCTAATCTATGAATACTTCACTACATTGGCAACAATGGCAGCTGTCAGAGAATTGATATCATTGCAAGTGTGAACTGTCAAAAGTAATTGCAAAACAAACAAAATTACTATTACATACCTGCACCTTAATATTTGTAAATTATAACATACACAATAGTACTTACAATAGAAGTTTTGTCTTGACAATAAGTGCAAGAATTATACTATATAACAGAACCAAGCCAACAAGAATCCAATATATATATATAATAACAACCTCTCAACACACGTAAAATTATTTTTTAATCGGCTTCCGAACCCTGCTTCATCAGGAATGACATTTACCACTCGATGTCGGGTGCCATCGCGCCCAAGAATGACAATAGACCCATCACGTGTCCAACACCGTGACACACCAAAGCGATTCCGAGCTGCAACAAATGCTTCATGGCGGGCCTTGGTCATGAACTCAGATAGCGTAACGCCGCTACCTTTCAGCTTAGTCTTAGAGAATCAGACTTTGTCACGTAGATCTTGATCTCGAAATTTTACCAACAATGCACGAGGTTTATCACTCTTAGTAGGCCCCAAGCGGTGACATTTGGAAATGCAGCCTATAGTTATATCAGGCATATTGAGCCGCTCAGACAGAACCTTACTTATGCACTGAAGTGGATTTTCATCGCGGACTTCTGGCACCCCATGGAGAAGCAACATCTTCCTCCGCATCCTTACCTCCATTTCGTCTTGCTGCCTGGAGAGAAGCTGGAGTTGCAGCTGCAGATTCTCTAGTGCCGACAGAACAAAAGTTCTAAATGCACTAAATTGTGCATTAATATTGGAAGAAGGACTTGCTGCAGGAATGGATGTTCTAACTTCCTTCTGGAACTCATCCATACGTGATGTGAAGTTTGCTGTTAGTTCTTCAATTGATTTCTTGAGCAAATCCATAATAAATGTTGTTTGGAAGTTAGGCAAAGGTCAATAGTGTTTTATCAGAATTAAGTTTTAAGTTGTACAGTGTAAAACAAATTATTAAAAAAGAAGGCTGGTGGTTCACTGTAATCACAGGTACATTTTTACTCTTTATTTATAGATATTTACTATAAAAACTAAAAATAAAAGAGGAACAGCTTTTAATATGTCTATACTTTTGAGCGCCTACCCACCAAAAAAATTCTTTACTTTTCTTTTAACGTAATATGTCGACCTTCTGCGTGGCCGTGGTACGTCCCATAACTAGCCTAATCATTCGGATTTAGAATAGAAATTCGCGTGGGTTTAGAACGTCATATCGGTCATTCGTGAGTTTATGGTACTTTCCCGTATTTTTTTTTTTTTTACGTGGGAAAACTTTATGGATCCCCCGCCACCTTGTGGGTAGGCAACAGGGAGATACAGGGTACCCACTAAAAAACCCCACGTTGCACCTGCGCTGTCGCTTTGCCGGGGACACGGGAACACGAAAACGCAATCTTCCGCGAACCCCGGCGCGACTGTGGCTTTCTCAGGCCTCCTCTGCCCGGGTGCTTAGACACCCGATCCAGCCAAATGGTGCCGTGTCGGTGGAATGAGCACGGCAACCCTCTCAAGCCCTCTGCCCCGGGGCTTGCTATCAAGGGGGAAGGTCCCGCCAGGCTGAGCACTCCGCCAGTTCGTGTTGGGCCGTCTCTTCGGCACATACGTCGCAGTGGTGACAAACAGCTGTTGGCTCCCTCCCCGCCAAGTGACACAGATGGCCCCGGGCTATTGCTTCCTCGCGCCAGTTATGCAGTGACGCGAGGATACCGGCTTCTAGGTCCCAGAAAACGAAAACCCAACACCCTCTGCGGTCTGCGCAGAAGCGCCAAGGTCCGGCGATTCAGAGTGTCAGCCCAAACAGGAGCACCGTACAGGGCCATGGACCTTACGACTCCGGTGTATAGGCGACGGCAGGAGTCGTTGGTATCACCAACGTTTGGGAGCAGCCTTCGAATACCGGCCGCTGCTCTTGCCACTTTTGGAGCTAGGCGCTCGAAGTGGGGAACGAAATTCCATCGGCGATCCAGGACTAGGAAGAGATACCTCATTGTCGGCTTGACGTCGACACGGACGCCGCACACGCCGCATTATGTGAGCGTCCGCAGGTGGCGCATTCCGAGGTCCAAAGAAACACAGGGCTTCGGATTTATTAAGTGCCACCTCTAGCCCCAGGCGCCGTCCCACTACGTGTGCCACTCCCGCTGTGGCGAAAATTGGTGCCACGGGCGGTGACAAGGGTGTCGTCAGCGTAACACGTTACCTCGACACCCCAGAGGTAGGCGCCACGTAGCACCCAATCATACCCTACGTTCCACAGGAGTGGCCCTAGCACCGACCCCTGTGGAATGTTACTTTCCCGTATAGGCCAACCCGTTCGAGAAACAGCAGAAATTCCTGAAAGGGTTTAAAACGATATAAAATATATCAGCCTTTTGTTAGGTCGTGTTTGTCTTTTGTTACGTCCCATAACGAGCCTACTAATTCATCTAAGAGCAGAAATTCCCGTGGGTTTAGAACGTTATATATAGACCTGTCGTGAGTTCGGGGTACATCGCCAAACGAGCCTACCCATTCGTTCAACTGCAGAAACGACTGCATAGGTTTATAACGTAATATATCGGTCTTATTTGAAGCAATAGGATTTGCCATTCTGATGTTATATGAACAGGCCTGCCTATTCATACGACAGCAGGTCAGAAGTTAAGTGGTTCTGCTACAGCAAAAAGTTAAGTTAATATCTTTTGTACAAAGTCTCCTTTACTAACTTGTTTACGTCCGGACCCAATAAAACAAATTAATGTGTATACAAGAGCCAATTCAAGTAGGTCTATATCAATTTGTAAAGTTTTATTACGGCAGTACCAAAAATATAATGCCAATTATTTGGGTAGAAACTATCAATATTGTCGGTTTAATGGCATCAACTCTCGTAAGTAGGTGAAAAGTAAGCTCGCTGAACATTGGATCAGCATTAATAAATAATCCTCGACCTTCAAATGTGAGCGTGTACCCGCATTTGGTGTACAGAAATTGTGGTCAGAAATTTCGGTAATTTAGCGTTATATAATTAAACTTCATCATGCGACCTCGGCAAATCAAGTTATGTGGAAAACGTGACTGCGAGCCGAAAATAATGGAATAATTTTGTTTGACTGAGTCTCGTTTGTTCGCGCGGGATCCTATTTCAACACTAGCTACGTTATTTGACTGCATATGATATCTTAATAAATACGCACGCTTAGTGATATCGCGAGATATAACGCACGGTGGTAGGGCCACGCAGCAGCTAAGGCTGTTGCACGAATGGGCAGGCTCGTCCGGGTAAGTACCACGATCTCACAGAAGACCGGCGTCAAGTGGAAGTATAATACTTTCGCGTTTCGTCTGGTGAGTGAGGTGGCCGGAGCCGAATTTTCAAAAGGTTGTCAACGCATCTGCAACCCTCGGGTGTCGGATATTCATGGGTGGCGGTATCCACTTAACATCAAGTGAACCGCCTGCTCGTTTGGCAAACTTCACATAAAAAAACCTTATAACTAGCTAAGCTTAGAATTTCATCTTTATTCTTTATCGAATTCTACTTTTGAGTATTTAACGATTTTAGGTCTCTCATCCTCGCCCACCTGGGAGAGAATACACTTGTTGTGAGTGCGGTCGGAGGATACTCTCTCGTAAAGGCCTGTACATCTACGAACGCAGGTGTCGTCACCGTGATGCTGTTTAAAACATCTGACTCAGATGAAAAGACCTATTGATTGTTGTGGATCTGTTTTCGCGTTTCGTCTGGGATAAGTAAACCTACCCGTTTTTATTAGTTGGCAGCGCATCTGCGACCCAATCTTGTAGATATACATGTCCTTAACAGGTAAACCGCCTTCTCGCTTGACAAGTTTTCTTGTAAAAAAAAAAAAAAACATGCTTTAATATTTTGTTACAGTTACAACACGAAACTGACAACGCTCGCGCTACCGTCCGTGATCTTCGAGCCCAAGTTTCGAGGTTCAGTTCGCAATCTCGTATACTCGGATCTGCCTGGTGAGCCACCGAGGAGGCAGGAGTTGCGCCACTCCAGGGATCTGAAGGTGAGTCCTCGCTACCAACTCGCAGTGACAAACATACTTTTAAGATATACGGCAAGATGTGTAATACAACATTTTGATGAGTTTGTTTTATCTTATCGAAATTTAGTATTGGAAACTGCGTTAGTTTGAAGCACATCTTAAAATTGAAGTACGCATGTAATTATAAAAATGAAGCAGAACACTTGAGTAAGGTCGTAAGTGATCTTTACAGGACCTACGCCACATCTATCTTTCGTAGTACGTAAACCTTTTTAGCATTTTAGACATTTTTTTACAAAATCTTTATCCCTACTAATTTTATCGATATTATAAACACGAAAGTTTGTTTATATGGAGGGATGTTTGTTACTCTTTAACGCAAATACTAAGGAATGGATTTTAATGAAACCTTACAATAATATAGCTTATACATGTAAATAACACATAGGCTATAATTTATGTACATATTTTATGTACATATATCTTTTTCTGCCTGAATGTTACGCCTTCAGCCTATTTTACGCAGACGTAGTCGCGGGCAGCAGCTAATATAAAATAATAACCTGTTTATTATCTTGAGATAACAATTGATAGAGATGCGAGAAATAAATTCAATGCATCAAAGATGATGCGTTGTTCTTAAACACGTCGTTTCACCGTCGTATAAATCTATACGTTAGTAAAACTGTCATAAACGTGTAAAGTTCTATTTTTATTTTTAAATAACTTCTGAGTAATAGAGAACATGTTTTATTTTAATTAAAGCGGTCGTTTTTTTTGTAAGAAATGTTATATTTCTGCATAAACCACACGGAATTTTTTTATTTCTGCATAAATCACACGGAATGGTAATATCGTCACCGTGTTCACTGTTATTTGGTGTTGAAAATGTTAAACTTGGGTTACATTATTAATTAATGTTTACACTTTGTAATTTATTACTAGACGGGTGGAGCTAGGGCAAACAAAACAGGACATTTCATATTCATTCATAATTTTTAGTGTTCCGTATCCAAAGGGTAAAAGGGAACCCTATAACTACGTCTCCGCTGTCTGTCTGTTCGTCTGTCACCAGGTTGTATCTCATGAATCGTCATAGTTGAACAGTTAAAATTTTCACAAAAGGTGTATGTCTGTTGCTGCTATTACAAAAAAATGCTAAAAATCGTGATAAAATACGTTAAGTGGAGCTTCCCATACGACAGACACGAGTTTTTTCGTGGTTTTTATAGATAGCTGCTACCCGCGTCTACGTCAGCGTAGAATTGGCTGAAGGCGTAATATTCAGACGGAAAGACAGATATACATATCAATATATATATAAATTATAGCCTATGTCTTCTTCTGATGTATAAGGTATAATATTGTTATATTGTTTCATTAAAATCCATTCAGTAGTATTTGCGTGAAAGAGTAACAAACATCCATCCATACATACAAACTTTCGCCTTTACAATATTAGTAAGGATAGTAAGGAAGTAAGGATGGCAAGGAACCCTTCGAGTCCGACTCGCACTTGGCCGGTTTTTATTCGCCCGCTGACTCGCCGCTAGCGTGCACAATTTACGAAATCATATTGTGCCGTTGTGGCAGTGACCTAAATTAAATACGAGGTCCTCGGCTAGGATTATAGCAGATGGGATGGACCATTCTCGGATTGAATTCGTTATGAGCAGTGGCCCGGTCCGACACTCTTTGCATAGCACGTTGGTACAATTTGTTTCGTTTGTCTTTTAAAAGGGGATTGTTATGTATTTTTTCGTACACGTGATATTGAATTGGTAACATTCTTTTGGGCATGATACGTAAAATCAT